GTTAGATAATAAGAACGAATTTTTGAAATACCTTCAAGTTTTTGAACATCAAGCCTTGTACGTCTATCTCCAATAATCCATTTAAGTGTAGAAAAATTTCGTTCACATCCTGTTTGTAAAACAGCAATACCAAATAGTCGGAGTGCAAGATTTCGTAGATGATATGGTTTGCTTCTTATAGAATCCCACCATAATTCAGGCATATCCATATTTTTTTCATAAGATAAATCATAAGGATTAAGTTTTTGATCATATTTCTGAAATTGTGTAAGTAGTTCTTTGCATTCTTGTTCAGAATATCCTAAATTTTGCCAGAGAGTTGTGGCAGTTATTGCTGCATTTCTAAATCCTTCACCATTAAGACTCAAACCTAAAAAATTAAAATAATTTTATAGTGATAATAATTTTAAAAATTAACTGAAAAATATAATATATACCTCGATAATAAGGGTGAAGAAAATAACATAAAAGATAAGCAGGATGCTGAAACTCAAGATAACGACGATTAAAGATTTGAATTGCTGAAACCTTATAGGGATTTGATGAAGGGAGACGAAATATAGCAATTGCTAATTTGATCATTTGCACGAAACAATCAGCTAAAGAAGCTGATTTTGCTTCAAGGATATTAATGCATTCCTTGATGGGAGCCCAAATTGAACGAATATGATGACAATTTACGAAAAACTCCTCATCTTGGATTAAGAGAGAAACATGTGAATTTGTAATAAGACTATTATATTCCAATAAAATCTATAACATATAATTATTACAATTATTATATTATAAAATAAAGAATATTAATAAACGATTAAAAAAATATCTTGTCTAGTCAAAAATAGGACGCGCACGTAAAATTGAGTCTGTCGTCATATATAATGAACCCCATCTAGTCTTACACCATGTTTGCAATCTTTCAATATTAATTTTCATATTTTTTAAACCTTGAGCCAAAATTGAAGAAGCTTGATGTGAGTTATTAAAAAATCTTGTAATCATTCCACAATTTGAAATAAATTCCTTTATATCATTAATTTTTACTAAATCAGCTGCTATCAAGTTAATAGCATGAGCTGCACATCGTATATCCCAAATATGACCATATTTTTCTTCTATCATTCTTCTAGCAACTCGGCAATTAGAAGCATTGTCGGTAACAACGGCTGTAAANACATCGTATATCCCAAATATGACCATATTTTTCTTCTATCATTCTTCTAGCAACTCGGCAATTAGAAGCATTGTCGGTAACAACGGCTGTAAATTTGTCTAACCCAATTTTCTCTACAATTTTTGATATTTCTGAGGCAAGGAATTCCCCTGTATGTAATTCCATAGAATAGTTGCGTAAAGCAACTAAATATTCTTTTCTATTGGGAGTTGTTACAACATAATTGTAAAGTGACTCATTTCGTTTAAACGTCCAACCATCTAGTGCTAATTATAGTAAAATAAATGATAGAAATTAATATTTAATAAATTTAATTATCAAAATAAATAATAAACACAATTTAAAAAAATTAAATTTTCTTTACTTAAAGTTAAACTATCTGCTATCTCCAATTCTGATTCAATTTTTTTATTAACATGTGAAATCTCTTCATCTAAACATCTACCAGACAAAGTAGTTCGAGATGGTGGGATATATGCCGGGTTTAAATTTTTAAATAAATCCAAAATAAATGGATTTTCAATGACCTCAAATGGGATTCCTGCCATCACCCATGCCTTTAATAAAGAGCAATCAATACGGCTGCTTATTTCGAGAGGAAGTGGATTATCTGAACTAAAGTGGTTTACAATTTTGGTTTGCTTATACCGAGGCTGTGGAGCTGGAGTTTGATCTTGATCTTGATCTTGATTTTGCGAAGAATCCATCTTTCGGGTATAATTTACCGTATTTTCAGCAAATTTATCACGTCAATACTTGCTAATGTTTTCAGGATACGCCAAACATTCATTTGCTAAATGAGCTTTTAAAGCTACTGGCCTTCCCCTTGACCATTCCTTTTTGAAATGATAACATGTAGCTTTATAATGACCTGGATTTATGTCGTCTCCTTGAATATAATATTGCCATACTTCGTCAAATTTTGGACCTCCTTTATTAGCTTTTTTTCGCGGAAGAGGTGTTTCAGATAAAGTGTCATTACTGCGCTTTTGTATATTAGTTCTAGTTGTTTCTGTCATAACGAGTTTTTGGTCGTGAGTTGTGACACGTAAAACAAAAAGAATGAAGTTAAATTTTGTGTTTATCGATCGAATTTATTATAAAAATAAGATCAACATTATGCATTGTACTCTGCAAAAATGAAATCAATTACATTAAAGAAGTATTGGATATTTAACAAAAAGTATTTTTTTAAAAAAAAATAAAATAAAGTAATGCTAATAAGATAATTAAGTCACAATTTATTACTGAGTTACGTTAAATACAATACGTCATACGTCACATGTTACGTCAAAAGTCAGTAGTTACGGCATTAGCTTACATTATTATGTCAAACGTCACAAATTGTGACATGCGTCATCTTCATATGACACATGACGCAATGTTATAACCCAAGGGGAAGGATAAGACTGCACCTCTAATAATTACATTATTAGCTTTCCTATAATTATACTAATAAATCACTTGTTAATTATAGGAATTAAATAAAAGATTTCAAATAAACTATTAAAGTAATAGCCTTTTTGTTTGATTTTTTTTTTTATTGATTTTCTTTCAACTATTAACAATTTAATAATAAAAATGAGTTTTTATATTAAAATTATCAAAAAATTTGTTAATCTTTAAACTTTCTATAAAAATTATTAATAAAAGATCTTATTATCTATAATTTCAAATTTAATAAAAAGGAAAAATAGTATTTCACAACAAAAATTTGAAAAGTAAAGAAAATTTCTGGAAAAAAAAAATCTTTAAAAAAAGAAACTTTGTTTAGTGATTTTATTTATAAATAATTCTATTTGTAGATTATATAAAAAATGCTTTATGAATTTATTTATAATAATAAATCTCATGAAAATTATAGTTTAATTGATGAATTATTTATCTGAAATATTTTTCAATTAAAATTATAGATTTTAAAGACGTTAAATAAGAATTTAGACAATGATTTTGATTTTAATGAAATTCTTATATTACATTAATGTTATTTTATATGATAATATCTTTAGTTTTATTTATATAATTTTTATTTATTGTAATTTTATTAAATTTTTATAATTTTTATTGTAATTTTATCATAATTTTTATAAAGTTAATTTTTGATAAATTTTTAATGAAATTTGTAATTTTATAGTAAATTTTTATATAATTTTGTTATAATTTCACAATGAAATCTTTAATTAAATTTTATTATTTGAATTATAGGTTTTACAAAACTAATATATTTGGATTTATCGCAATTTTCAGAATTCTGTATATGTTATAATTACTTGATGATTATAATTACAGGACAATTATAGGACAATTACTGGACAAAATTGTCCAGTTTTTGTCCAGTAATCTTCCTGTAATCATAATCTTATAATCTTTTTTATTAGATGATCTGCAGGGGGTAGCACAATTTTGAAAAGTGTAATAAAATATCTATCCTATCATATATAAAAATAAAATATACAAATGTATCATTATTATAGTAAAATTAAATAAAGTAAAGTTTTGATTTATGTACAATTTAAGAATTTTTTATCTATAGTTAAGTTATCAAAATTATATATTTTTTATCAAGATTTTTATATGTAAAAATTAGTTTATATATTTTTGATTTAAATTTGTCTATATATAATATATTTACTTTACATTATTATATTATAATATTTAGTATTAATTGAAAGAAATTTCTAAAGGTTAAAAAGTGGAAAAATGATAAATTAAAATAAATTTTATTTTTTTATATTAATATTTGGTTTTATAAATAATATAAAAGTTATGATAAAATAATTAATAACTTAATATCTGAAATTTTATTTGCAATATTTTTGCAGGATTTTTAATATCAGATGTCAATTATATATATTATTTAAATAAAAAGTTATATACAACTCTTATATATATATTTTTTGTTAATATTATGAATAAAGTTTCATTATAAAAAAAGGTTACAAACTATAAAATATTAAGAAAACTACTTAAAAAGTCCTTAAAAATTATATTAAAAAAATAGCTAATCAAATAAATAAAGGAAGAAAATAAAAAAAATAACTATAAAGTTAGAAATTTAATAAAAATATTAGTTTTAAAAATTAACTGTTTTACTACTGACTATTCTATACTTTTATATAAAATTTTAGAAAAAATTAATAATCAATATTAGTTAAAATTTCAGTTTGAAGTTATTAATATCTTTTATTTATTAAAAGAAATTAATCCCCTTAGTGTTAACCAATTTTCAGAACTTAAGTTTATTTAATTACAGTATAATTTATAATTGTAAGAAAATTGCAACCATAATAAGTACTATTATAGAAAATGTAAAAATTAATATTATAATGGTTAGCAATATTAAAATAAATATGAAGTTTATTAAGTAAATAAAAATTTACCATTCATTAATTTACAATAAAAAAATTTTTTTTAATGTAATAAAACTTCTTATTTGATAAATAAAAAAACAATTATATTTAAAAACAAAATTGTATTAAATAACAGTTGGTTTGCATTAAATGACAGTTAATATGTCTTAATTGTCAATTTTAACTAATATATATTAAGTATTAATTAATATCTAATATACATCAGCTTATTCAGCTACATTTAATACAAATTGATATTTGACACATAATGTATATATATGACTAAGCTGATAATTATTCATATATAAATTGTATATAATTTACATTTTTTATATTGCAATACAATCATGTTCATTTTCAGTTTGATCAAATCCTTTAAGTGCATATCTACTAGTAGTAGTTATATTTTAAATATACTGCATAATGGCTCTATTCGTTATTACAATACAGAATCTTTTTTTTTTAACCGAAAACGAGAAATGGCCAATTTCAAAAATGCATTTAGCGTTAAACAGCCAGATATTCATGTTGTTATAGGTCCTCCTAGTACTGGTAAAACTGCTTTGATTAGACAAGTTGTACAATCATCTAAATGTCTTTTTAAACCTATATTTATTAACTTGCGTAATGGACAATTTGATACACCACAAAGAGTATATGATTCAATTTATTCACAATTTAACCCATTTTTCAATAAATATAAGAGTTTATTGAAGAATAATTTTGTAAAAAAATTGTATCTTGAATATACTGATTTCAATTTACTAAATAGATTTAATAATAGATATAGAGAAAAAACTTCTGATGATGTTAGAATATTACTTGAAAAAATTAGTGATTATCTTCCAAATTGGAGCTTTTGGCATAATTATCAAATACCTTCACCTATTTTAATCATTGATGAAGCAAACTTACTTAATCAACTTGAACATAAAGATAAATCTCTTCTTAAGTTAATTTTAAACTGGTTTGTACTAAATTCAAAAGAAAGGGAACGCTTTCATATAGTACTTACTTCTTCTGATTCATTTTTTTTTACCTGGCTTACAGAATGTAAGTTTATTTTAAATATATTTATTAATAATATAAAAGCTAATTTGCATTTATTTTTTAGGTTTAAATACCCTACATGTAAAGCCATATATTATTGGAGATTTAACTAATCAAGAAGCTGAAGAATATTTTGAAAAGCATGCTCTTCCTCAATATGGTATGTTTTTATTAAACTATCTATTTATATATATTATGATTTACATATATAATAATATTTTTTATTTAAAAAAGGATGTAAAGAACTTTCTGGCAAATTTAATCAAATTTGCAAAATAACAGGTACACGTATTCTCATTATTGATAAGTATATTAATGAGTATAAAATTTATAGGAATGATGGAATAAAGTTTAAAGGTATATATTAAATTTATTTTCTTTATAAGCATTTTTAAAAATCTAATGTTTAACAAATTAATTTACAGCAAATAGATTTTCAGTTTATGAATCAGAATATAATAAGTTAAATCATGGTCTTTATCCAGATAGCTATAATTTCAGATTTTTAGATAAGCTCAATCCACCACTTTGGAATGATGTTGATTTAATCAAAGTTATGAATGCAATAGTAAAGGCAGAGAATCAGGGATATATTTTTGAAAATGACTTAATTAAAGAAATTGGTGCTGAAAAAGTCTATTCACTTATAGATTATAATTTTTTGCATCGCCGACTAACAACACGATTTACTTATGATATTATTGATCCACCAAATAAAATAATTCTGACTGCAATGAATCAGCCATCAGTATGTGCAATGAAGCAAGTCTTATCTGAAATTGTAGAGAAAAAATAAAAGGAAAAAGAATAATTGCTATAAATTAGCAAATAATTCTATCAATTAATCTTTTATATAGAATTATAAACTATTTGATAAAATAATAAAAAAAAATAATTGATCATTGATTTAAATTGCATAATTTATATTGTATAATATTATACATTTTATTGGTATATTTTGATTTTAAATATATAAAGTTATATTAACTTTTTGACTATTTTAAGAACCAGTTATTGGATTTTAATAATCTTAAACTTATTAGATTTATCTTGTTAAAATAAATATTTTGATATTTATTTCATTTCTATAGATGCAATATTGACTGGAATATTTCTTTTTAAAATTTTTGTTATTGAAATTTGAGTTATTTAATATTATTTAATACTAATCTTTAAATTTATTATAGAATCTATATATTTAAGTACTATTACTATATAGTTATAAATAGATATTGATATTTCCTATATAAATCAAAAAATATAAAAAATAAATATTTATAATAAAAACAAAAATAAAGTTTAATATAAATTTACTAATTTAATATAATAAAGTATAAAATTATTTGTTAATTTCTATCAAATTTATATATATATATATATAAAAACATTCTGTATTATATTATAATTTATGATTAAAAAATATTTATTCTATATTTATTTTTATATTCAAAATTTTAAGTAACTATAATAAATTTATTAAATTTATTAAACTTTAAAATGGAAGATCTGGAGGTATAAAATCTTTAATCCTATACATCCAATTATTATTATTATAATAATTATAATAATCATATTGATATTGCCAATTTTCATAATTATAATAATTGTACCAATTATTATACCAATTCCAATATTGATAATTATTATAATAATCACATGATGTGTCATTATTACCTTCTGGATAATAATCATTCGTTGAAGTTTTATTTTTTCTATTTTTTTGATTCTTTTTCTTACCATCCATTCTAATAATTTTATCATTTGAACTTGATTCTTTCTTTTCATAATTATCATTGGATGAGAATATAACTGGAGGAATCTCAAGCATTTGAGTCTAAGAAATAAATAATGGCATTAACAAACAATTGCACTACTAAATTACTGAATTTATATTAATGATAAGAACGTACCTTGATTGTATCTCTTTCATCCAAAAGTTTATCATATGCTTTTATGTCAGTTTCGGTCAATAACGGTCTTTGGTGATGTTTAAACGAAATCATATCTAAAAAAAAAATATTTTATAAAAGGGTTAAAAACAATCTTTTATTAAAAATAAATATAAAGATATTATATAAATACCAGTAAATGGTTCGATTTCAACTTGATGATTTTCCTTCAAAGATTCAATAAAATTCATCTCATTAATATCCACCAAACTTATTGCCAATCCATGAGTCCCTAAGGAATAAATATTAGAAATTTAAACATATAATAATATGAAAAAAAAAATAGACAATCATCTTTATAAACAAACCATAACGTCCTGTTCTGCCCACTCGATGGAGATATGTTTCAGCATCTTTAGGCATATCCAAATTCACAACCAAATTCACTCTTTCAATATCAATACCTCTAGCAATCTTAAATGAATTTAATGAATTTGTAAATTAACTTACTGTTTTACACAAATGAATTTGTTAAATTTTTTAAATATTGTACCAAATCGCTACAAACGAGGACTCTAATTTGGAAGTTGCGTGCTTTTGACATTGTTTCAAGACGTGCTTGTTGATCCAACCCACCTATTAAAAATTATTTATATTAAATATTTTGAAATAACAAATTAATTCTTTTATACTTGACATACCTGATATATTTAGTGCCATCCATCCTTGGCTTGTCAAATAATTTGCTAAATCGACCGCCCTATTAAAATAAAGATAAAATGAAATTGACAGTCTATTCACGACGCCAAAAAAAAAAACTAGATTGGTATCATTCTAACTAAATCAATTGCCAATGATGAGTTTCGAACACATTTTTTGACTTTAGATATTTTGAGTAAAGTTTTGTGTGTAAAGAGCGTCCAAAAATCATGTCCAAAAAAACTGACCAATTGCCTAACACTGATCCCTATAAGTAGTATTTTTAAAAGTAAATGAATAATAAATACCTTCCACGATGATTTATAAATACAATACATTGATAAAATGGAACTCTTCCTAAAATATCCGCCATGTTTTTGAACTTTTCTTCATAAATTTTGAACTTTTCAATAATATTGTTTGTTTCTGGGGATTCAACTATCTGATAATATTGCAAAACTCCTAAAAGTAAAAGTAAAATTAAATTAATATAAATATTCTATTTATTTGTTTTAATTAAAAAATTAAACTAATTTTTTTTTTTACCTTCAAGACAAGGAGTATCATCTGTAAGCATAATATGATGCGGATTTCGAACAAAATGATCAAGCACTTTTAATAAAGGCTTGTCATATGTCGCAGAAAATGCAAGTACTTGTTTATTAACAGGAAGTTTATCATTAATTTTCCTAAATTTATAGAAACAAATCATTGTTTAAATAAATTATAAAAAAACTTTTTCATAAATTTTAATTACTTTATCTGTGAAAAAAAATTGTTCTCCATTAGCTTGTCTGCTTCGTCTAGAACCAATAATTTCACATTTTTATTCGACATATTTTGGTTACTTAAAAGCATACCAATTCGTCCTAGAAGGGAAATTTTACTTTTTAACAATTCTTTTATTAAGAAGAAAAAAGAAATAATTTAATAAATACCAGGAGACCCGATTACAATCTGGCATTTCTTGAGTTTTGGCAAATCTTCACTGATAGGTAAACCTCCAATAAAGACATGACAGCTTAAATTTTTCATATAACGACCAATATTACAAATAACTTCTTTTGTTTGTACAGCAATTTCACGAGTAGGTGCCAAAATTAATACCTGTTTTTTTTAAAAAAAAAAAAAATGTTCAAATTTAAAAGTATCCATAAACGAAAAGAATACTTTTTTTTTTTTTAAAAAAAAAAACTAACCTGCGGTTTCGGATTATTCAAATCTAGCATTCCTAATGCTATAATACCAAAAACTATAGTCTTTCCAGTTCCTGATTTGGCTTGAGCTATAACATCTAATCCAAGTTTACCTGGAGGAATTGCCTTTAATTGTATCGGCGAGGGACGTTCATAACCTGCTTTAGATAAACCTTTTAATATATTTGGATTTGAAATCAGTACTTCGAAATTAATGTCTTCGTCTATCTGAATATCTTTTGTACGTTCTACACTCATTTTTTTTTATGAGGACTTTTTTGAAAGTTTTAGATTTTAAATTTTTATCATCTATTTGTAACACAAATCTTTGAAAATCAAATTACGTAATGCATCTAAATCCGATTTAGTTTGACGCGTTTCTTTTGATTGTATGCAAATAACAGTTTTAATGTTTAATACAAGATATGAAAAATATGAAAATAATTAAAATTTCTCTATAAATAAAGTTTTTTGATTTATTTTAATCATAACTTATAAACTATTGTATTACATAATAATTTTAATCGAAAAATTTGCCACCATTAAAACTACATATAATCAGATAATTAATTGTCCCTCACTCCCTCATTCATAATTAATCTATTAACATAGAATATTTCACTGTACAACAAAATTTTATTATCTTCATAATGAAGTAATTATTTTATATTTTAACAATTGTAAAAAAAATACAAGGATGATTATGCAGACTTATTTCGTAAGTTGTTCCAAAGATGTTCAGGACGATGCGATTTGTATTTAGAGAAGTAAAGACCACATGCTGCAATAAATTAACGTTTATGGTTTAAATACTTAATTCCAAAATATTAAATTTTATGGTAAACTTACCATTACAAAGCTTCTTATCTGGAGTTTCACCTGCTCTCCATCCCGGTGTATTTGATGTTTTGCAATTTGCACAAACCCAACCTATATTCATAATAAAAATTAAACATTAACACAAGTCCAAAATATAATTAAAAAAAAATAGAAAAATAAAACTACAACACTAAAAAAAGATACGTGGTTTTTTTTGTTCCAATGATACAATTATAAAAACACTTTTTTTAGTTTTAACCCAAAAAGTACAGATCACTGATTAAATTGAAATTGGGATATAGTCTAAATTACCCTCTCGTAATCTCTTACTAATATAACCACATGTCTTTTTTTCGGTTGCTTCTTGGATTTTTGGTAGTGGCATACCATGACGTTCATATTCCGTTTCGGCAAAATATTGATCTTCATTTTTTTGTATAAACCTTTAAATAGATAATCAAATTAAAAAGAATTTTTGGCAACAAAATAAAAAATAAAAAAAAAAATATTACTTTAAGAAATCAATTAAATGTTCTTCAAGTGTCTCCGTAGCTGCTTGATCCATTGTAGTATGAGCAAGCAATCGTGGAAGTTCAACTATTTTTTTTAAAAAAAATCAGTTTAATTACGTTTAATGAAAAAAATTAACGAATTAACTTACGAACCAAAAAGTCGCAACAAGTGCTCTGCTCCATATATTTCTGAATTCTCTTTATCAAGGAATTGCTTACGGATATTTACATATTGTTGACGTTCATCAGCATACAAAAGGATATTTCCAAGAGTTTTGTCAAAATATATTTTAATGCCTTGAACAACTTCAGAATGTATATCATCCCTTAAAAGATTTATATTATTTTAATAAAAAAGCATATTTGTAATATATTTAAAATTTGTAATTAATTTGTATTCTCACTTATCAGATTTCTGGTTGTTAGCTGTAGATGCTATCAAATTATGTTTGAACTCCAAATATTCATTCAAAATATCTGCAACAGTATATTTACGGGGCAATTTCAATAACTACGAAGAAAGAAGAAACATAAATAAAACATCAATTTGCTAATAACAAACTATTTTAATATCTATCATATTACATACAGCATTATTCCTCGTAACGTTTTCCCAATCATCAATTAATTTGACTTTTAATGATTCAGGCAGTGGTATTTTAATTTCGAGACGGTTCATGAACTCTTCCTCCTATAATATATAAAGTTGTATTAGAATTACATATTACACGTTTAAAACCTTCGAAATAATAATAAATAATAACAATAAAATTGATAAATACTAACTTCTTCATCATCATTAATCTTTTTTCTCTTTTTACCACGTTCATGGTTTTCTTTCTGTAGTTGATCTTCTTGTAATTCAGCTTCATTCTTATTATCTTCAATATCCACATCTTACGTTATAATAATGTTTGGTTTTAAAATCTTTGTTTAATATTATTAAATTTTGATGTTACTTACCTCCTTGATGACTTGGTGAACTTTCTGAAACATCATTACTCTTTTCCTGATCCTCAATTGAACCTTTGTTTCCTATTCTGACTGTTTTCTTTTTCTTGTTTGAATATGTATCTTTAAGTTGTTTTTGTCTCATTAAGTTTGCTTCGTTATGTTTCACTACTCTTTCCTCCGGAACCCATTCATCCCATCTATTAAAATATATGAAATTCGATATAATATTTATTACAAATCGAAAAATCCACGACATTTTAATTAAATATTTATAAAAAAAACAACTAAAACGCGCTTAAGCGCGAAAATGTATATACGTTTTCTTCCAGCCTTTATAATGTACATAATAGTGTGGACCAGTGTCACCAGACTCTGAATCTTCAGGACCCCAGTTTTCAGCTTTTAGGATCTAAATAATTAAAAAAGTTATATAGTTCAGTATCATAAGAAAAAAAAAAAAAGATAGTTTTTTTTTATTACTATACCTTAGCCTCATAAAGTAAAGGACCATGAAAGCACAAAACAAGTTCATTCTGCTCAAAATTTAGTTTATGATCAGTAGTTTCAGTGTCTGCCATGTGAGAGTAAAGATCTAATAATATTTTCTTATTAGAAATTGAAAATGTAAACACAAGGTAAAAAATGGATTGATAGTAGCAATAAAGCGTAAAGAAACATTCAAATCTTTAACTAAACGGATCATTTCTAAAATTGGAATTGATTTTCCAATTGGTATAAATGACACTTGCAAAAATTCGATATAGTACTTAATGAAACGTAGTATATATATAAGCCGCGATTTAATATTGTAAATCTAAGCCAATAACAGATAATGTTTTTAAATAAGATCTAAATTATAATTGATATGAATAAATATTTGCCAACTTTAATTACCATAATTTTCTTAGATTTCTATCATTACACTATTAAATACAATATTTGTAAACGATAATACAATGATAACAGACTAATGCAAAGACTCTTTAATAATATTATAAACCCATACCATTAGAAAGAATCTATTACTGCCTAAAATAAATAAGAAATATAAGAATTGTGTAAAGGCTTACAACTTTTATAACTATTTATACATACCATACAATCAAATAAGAATACTTTTAATTCATTTATATCAAACGAACCTTTGGATAAGAAATCAATTATTCAGGAATTGGTAAGAATACGAGAAATTGGGCCAATAAAAATCAATATCATATTTGTCAGTTCAAACATTTCCAGACTTCCCAAATTTATTGCACAATATTACTCTTTAATTATAAAATAGAATTTGCTTTTGCTTCAAATTCGTCATTTTCAAATTAATAGTCCTTGCTGTAAACAATTTGAATCCCAAAATTACTAATAAAGGTTTTCTTTGGTACTACTAGATAAGTCTTTCTTGTAATGCGCACATAATCCAATTTGATTCAACTAAATACCCTTTTTATATTAATTAAATAATAAAGAATATATATATAAAAAGAATATATAACAAATTTTTATCAAAGCGACATTTTTTTTTCCAAAAAAAAATATTTGTTGAATCTGTACTTCAAATATGCATGCAATATATGCATTTTTAAAATTTAAAAATATTTCTATAAAATAGATGATTTCAAATGATTTTTTTAATAAATTAATAAAATCTAATACAAATGAAAATTTCATAAATACCAATTTGAAAAAGATATTTATACTATTTTTTCCAATTAATCGTAATTGTAAACACTTAGTGATATTTTTTTTTTTTTAAAAAAAAAAAATAACTCAGCATTAAGCTTCTATAACTTTTGTATAAGTTTTTCCTTTTTTCCTTCCGAAAAACTGTCTAGATAGATAAACTTATGCTTTTTCTCATGAATATTTTACGACTCACTAACTACCTTTGTCTCTATCATTATCGCTTTATTTCATAATATTCTTACTACATATTCATTCTCACTTTTGGATTGCCAAAAATAAAAACCCTCAGAGTTTCGCAAATTGAATATATTCAAAAGAAGTTTTATTGTGCACTATAATTGTGGCTTAATATCGACGCAATGATCACCATTTATATGTAAGATATTCATCAGATGATTTTGCAGAAAATATATCTATATATATATATTAAGAATAATAGATTTTAAAACTTTGCACCAAACGTTGGTGTTATAAATTATAAACCTTTCTTTCAAACAAAATAAACCTTTTAGCTAAACGAACAGAAGCTCAGTTCAGTTCCAAACTGTCCTCACCCTAGTTCTCCAGGGAAAAAGGTGATTTTAAGTGTACTAAGGAACGAACAAGTCTCAACTAAGAAACAGTTAATATCGAAAACAAATAATCATCAAGGACGATCTGGAAATTGAAGAAATTAAAGATAACAAACAAGAAAGTTACTTGAACGGTGACGAGAAAAGTATATATACATAAATATAAATATATATATACATTTTTTTATGTTTACTTTTAATTTGTTATATGAACCGATGTTAATGGAAAAAATATTTCCTACCAAACTTTTCATAGTGGATGATCTTACGAGCGGTTCGGATAGCGATTATGCAAAATACTGGATCGATTGGTTTTTGACCACCAAGGGGAATGAATATTTTTGCGAAGTAGATGAAGAATATATCCTTGATCGCTTTAATTTGACTGGGTTGAACTCTGAAGTTCAACATTATGTTCAAGCACTTGATCTGATAACGGATTCCTTGGGTAGAGTTTCAACAATATCTCTTAATTGAGACTACAAAAAGATATATCCTTTTTATTAAGACTTTTAAAAGTAAATGAGATATTTATAATATTTCGTTTCGTGAGAAGATAATTTACTGAAAACAGCCACATCACTTTCTATTTTATAGAAGAAGAATTGGATGATGAGATGCGTGAAGCAGTTGAAAAATCTGCTCGTCACTTATACGGTTTGATTCACGCGAGATTTATTATCACAAGCAGAGGCTTGGCAAAAATGGTATATAAAAATTATTATTACTCTAAATCATTATTAACATTATAAATGAAATATTCTTAATTTTTAACTTAATTGTTCGAAATATTTATTAGCTTGAGAAATACAAGAAAGCAGACTTTGGTCGTTGCCCACGTGTTCTTTGTCATAATCAACCTCTTTTACCAGTTGGACTTTCAGATCAACCTTATACAAAGTCCGTTAAATTGTACTGTCCTCGTTGTGAAGATATTTATAATCCTAAATCCACTAGACATGCAAGTATTGACGGCGCTTACTATGGATCCACCTTTCCTCACATGCTCTTTCAAGTTTATCCACACTTGTTACCACCCAAAAGTAATGAGCGATACATTCCTAGGATTTTCGGATTCAAAATTCATGATATCGCTAAACAGCATCGTTGGCAAGATCAACAAAGGGAGGAACAGCAAAGAAGGATTACCGTAGTTGGAGAAGGAAATGTTAATAGTTAAATTCTCGGAGTTTTTTATTATATTGTATATTTTACAATATGAAACATTAGGATTACAATTTTATCTTTATAATGCGATAAAAGATGGGATGGGTGGGTTTTTTTTAAAGTATTTTTTTTGTATTTATGTTGGTTATAGAATGCATTGCGGCAATACGGACAAAAGTTGTATTTGTTGTTTTATAAATTACCAATGCTTTTTAATATTACTGAAACTTCTGTCTAGTATTGAATTTATACCTTTTTTTTTTCTTCTTTATGTTAACGAGCAATAGATTTGAATTTTAATATATCGTACTTTTATACTTTGTAAAAAAAAAGTTTCTTTTAAAAATTTGATATCGCTATTATGTAAAAGGAAATTGATTGCTATTTTTAGATCGGCGTAGAATTCATATATATATATATATATATATATATTTTCTAGGGTTTTATTTGCATTCAAGTAATCTCAAAAAAAAAAAAAAAGCTAATTTTTAAATAATTCTATATTATTACATACATATATATGATTCAATTATACAAGTAGAGTGTTTTATAAATTATTATAATTATTGTTATTATTCTTTGTTTCTCCTACTGTTTCTACGTAATGAAAAATAGGCAAGAACACGCGCTACAATACAGAAACCTATTAATACCAATAGGTTAACATACCAAGGTAAATCATCTAATCCTTCACTCTGTAGTATAGAAACACCGGAAATATTTGACATTGGACCATTATCTCCTAAATCACACATACTAACTTCTCCAGGAGGTAATTCTCCTGGTCTAGCACATCTAAATTGAGCTTTTGGTGTATCAAATTGAATTTGCATAAGCAAAGAATACGAGTATTTTACGAATGACTATAATAAAAAAAAAAAAATTTTTTTTTTTTTTTTCTAACAATATGATTTATAATAATTCGGACTACTTACAAGATATTTTAACCAACTTAAGCCCATTGGTAAATGTTTTATATAAAATCCACCTAATAACATAGATGCAAGCATAAATACCATACTAACAGCTATATTCAATAGGAAAAAAAAATCAGTTAATTAGATATATTACAATTAGAATTTATAAAATTAAAATATTTAAAATAATACTTACATATACTTTTTTGTACGTTCAATAAAGTTGCACCAAAGAAATAACCGAAACTCTGAGAAGTTACTGTACCAAGTAAAATTACTATTAAATAAGCTACAAATCTGCCGAAATCTGGTAATAAATTTGCTGCCCAATATACTGGGATAGTAAATAATGCAGGATTAAACATGACTAAAGGTAATTCGGCGATTTGTTTGGATAAGTAATATGATAATAAACGATAAGATCGTGATTGTCGTTCTTTCGATAACATGACTAAATCCAATGGGAAAGATGATACAGCTCCAATCATTGGATGGAATGACCAAAATACACCACAGAAGAAAATCTATAATAAAATCAACAAGAAATTTAGAATAAATGACTTTTTTTTTTTTTTAAAAAAAAAAGAATTTTATATTATCTATACTCACACTTCCAACACGATCAGCTATGTTAGTTTCAGCGAAAGGAATTTGAAGCCAAACTATAAGACAAATTATAGCCAAAGCAATAGTTTGAAATATATCAACTCTTGATAAAATAACACTTCTACTTTGTTTAAAGGTTCTTTGGGTAAGAATTGAGACTTGTTGTAAAAATGTAGCTTCCCAACGACGTGTACTTGTTACCGGAGCATTTAATATGGTATTACTTAATTGATTATCAGTTCGCGATCTTCGAGAATACTTTTCGATTGCTTGTTTTCCGGTTGGATCATCACGAATGCTATGCGCATATCCATTTATTAATTTTTGCTTGATTGTATTATCGTTCAAAAGTTCCACTATAATAATAAAAAGAAGAATGTTATATATATATTAAAAAAATTATAAATGTAAATGCTTATAATAAAAAATAATACATACATATATAATCAGCAGGATTGAAATTAGGGTGACATTTATATCCCTGATCAGCAAGGTAATCCACCACACCAGCTCTTTCACCAAAATAGACCATATGACCATCAGCCATTAACATTAATTTATCAAAAGATTCAAATACTTGAGATGAAGGTTGATGGATAACCATAATAATGGTTTTCTTTTGTTTAACAGCGAATTCTTTAAGAATTTTCGTAAGCTCAAGAGCCAATGAAGAATCTAATAATGAAATTAAAAAATTAATAAAAAAAAAATGAAGCGAATATTTCAAAGATTTCTATGATTACTCACCCAAACCAGATGTTGGTTCGTCTAGTAAAATGACACTTGGATCTGTTAATAGTTCAGATGCAATATTGGTTCGTTTTCTTTCTCCTCCCGATACACCACGAGTTCTATGGTCTCCTATTATCGTATTGGCACATTTCGACAAATTCAATAATGACATAGTGTTATCGACTTGTTTTAATTTATCACGTCGGGACATTTCACGTGGAAGACGTAATCGAGCCTATTAAATTTGTGAATAAGAAAGAAAGAGAAATTTAATATATATATAATACGGACTATGGCGCAGCATTTCAGTTTTGCGCAGTAAAGTTTTAACTTACAGTGTAGCTGAGAGTCTCCTTTACAGTTAATTGAGGGAAAAAGATATCATCTTGAGTACAATAAGCAACAAATCTCTTTGATTTTTTTGTTGGCTTATGACCATTTAGAGTTACAGTTCCTTGAACTCCTTTACTTCCAACGCGATCACCAAGAAGATTTAACAAAGTGGTTTTACCGCAACCGGAAGGTCCCATAATCGCGAGAATCTCACCTTTTTAAAATTGAAATGATTAATTATATAAGATTAATACTTTTTTTAGAAAATATATATATATATATATGTGTACAAAATTCATAGATTAATTACCTGGATTAGCACAACCATGAATATTTTCTATTAGTGTTCGTACATGTTTACCAGATTCTAGTTTAGAATCAGAATTTCCCATTTTGTTCCACCAGGATGGTTTATTACTTTCTTCGGTTATAGAATAATTTACTCCATGCCATTCTACATAAACAGGATTCTTTGCGGATGTTGATCCTTTTTCAGTACTCTCTATTAATTCTGTCCTTTTTGCTGATCTTTCTAATTGAACTGAGAGATCATTAACACCATCATTTCCTGTCTAAAAAAGAGAATGAAAGAATGAAAGAAAGAATGAATGAATGAATGAACGAATTATCAATTTTTATTTTCTTTAATTATTATTATTTTTTTTTTTAAAAAAAAAAAGAGAAATAATAAATACCATTGTTTTCTCATTTATGGCCGTTGACATAGAACTTGAACTTGAATCAACTTCAGTCACAGTAATAATTTGATCGTTTTCAATTTGTTCCATTAAAATTTTTTTAATTTTGAAATTATTATTATTATTTATTTATTTGAACGATTATTTTTTGTTTTTTTTTAATTGATTAGAGGGAAGATTTTATTTTTTTTTTTTAAAAAAAAAAAAATTTTATGAAAAAAAAAACTGGAATGAAAAAATCCAAAGAAAATTCCAACTCCTTTTATATTTTTAAAAGCCAAAACTGTATTTTATTTTATTTTTTATATATTTTTATATTTTACTTTGTTAGAAAGACGATAAGTAACACACGGGAAAAAATTCATCATCTTGGATCGTAGCACATTTGATAAAATAATAGAAAAAAAAAAAAAATAGGAATCAATCTTTTAATTGTTAAAAAGATTTCAATTTTTTATAATAATTAATATAAAAAAAAAAAGGAATTAAATAAATAAAGTTTAAAGAGGAGGCAATATAATTTTCCGGTGTAAATTTAAATTAATTGTACAACAAATAAACTCGAACTTTAGAATTTTTTAAATAAAATATACTATAAAAAAAATTTCTCAAATTTATTCGGAAAAATTATACCCGATATATAGATTTTATCCAGATAATACTGAATAAGGAAATATATTAATTGATCATTTCAACGTCATCTTTCATTATACATAGAAATCAAGCCATTTTCAAGCCGCTTTATTTGCTTTTTTGAATCTTATAATATATATGAAATCGTGTTTATATTCCGAAGGAAAAAAAGAAATATTATTTCTACAATGATACTAAATTTGAATATAAAACAATGTTCTAGATTTACATCATACTTACCATATTAGTGAAATTATTGAAAGCAAGGCGTAGTAAGTAATTAGCGCCCAACTCCGCAGTACATAAAAATTACAAATCATTTCGCGTCATTTCCTCAAAAAAGGAACCATTGCCGAAATACTGCGCAAACCGGATTCGGATAAATTATTTTTCTCAAAAAATGGTCGGCATTGATTGAAGCCGAAAATACAAACGTTTAAAATGTATATTATTATCTTTTTTAACTAATACTAATTCGATTTTTTATCTTTTCCTTTAAGAAAAATTTAAACCAATAATAACCAAAAATGACAAAATCATTCATGAATAATGAATGAGAATTTTATTATATTATAAAAAAAAATCTACAATGGTATTCTAAATACTTTGCTATTTCTTTGCGCAGTTATTTCATTGCGCAGTTAATATGAATCCGTTCTTGATATTATCGCGCCTCGGCCGCTTCGTCCTCCTCTTATTTAGTTGAACAAAAAATGTTGATGCATAATTTCGATTACATCTTGCATATTTGTTATTAATATATCCTTTTAGTTGGTAAGTTTGCCAAGAAAAGGGAGTATTAAAATATACAATATATATATATATATACTGTGTAATGTGTGTGTACAGTATATAATGCACAACACATATGTATTTACATATACTATATATCCATTTTGTACATTTTTTATATATATACTGTATATATAAAACGGTAGATTATTATGCTCTTCCGATCCGAAGATATATTTGTTTGTCAGTTATGTACGAATTAAATTAAATTCTTTTGTTTTTTTTTTTTNAAACGGTAGATTATTATGCTCTTCCGATCCGAAGATATATTTGTTTGTCAGTTATGTACGAATTAAATTAAATTCTTTTTTTTTTTTTTTTTCTTTTTTTTTTTACATCTGTTACATCTGATAAAAACCAACGTATTACGTATAACAAAATTTTGACATGTTTTCGCGACATTTTTTCTTTATTAGTTCAAACTCTATCTTCAACAAATAATATTAAATTATTCTAAATTTGATTATTAATATTTCTTTTTCGAATTTTTCGGTTGATTTTCATATAATTTATCCGATCCGATCGGGAAATTATTTACGAATTTTAATTATCATTTTCCATTTTTGGATTGATTATCATGAAAATTTTGATTTCTAAGCAAAAATCTATTGTGCGGTCAAATTGCAAGAAAAAAAAACAGTGAATAAAGGAATATTCTTATTATTTATGATTATTGCTCTTCTAATATTTTTTTCCGATGAAATTGTAACGTCATATGTTTAGTTATATAAAGTAAATTACCGTTTTCATCCTAAAATTCCCCAACAATTTCGTCCATTACTACAAATCTAGATTGACCTCTTGAATTGTATTTAGTGTGTTTAAAGTAGGTGTTAAAGTAGCATACCAAAATTCTCCCTACAATACTTCTTTTCCAATATAATTTGGAGATGCTTGAAAAAATAAATCGCTGATCGATCTATTAATAGTAATTTTAGTAATTTTAGTAATTTTCATTTTTTATTATTATTAAAAAAAGCTGTATAAAAAATGCTCTAATAAAATAATATCTAATTTTCTATTATCAGTCAATTTCTTGATCTTTAAATTTTTGATTGGTGTATCTATTATCTAATAATATTTTCATGATTACCCATAGTAGTAATTAATTTTAGGAATTCACAATCTGATTGAGCTACATCGAATGAAATTATTTATATCACCGAATATTACTGTAGCTTCAATATATAGCCCTTTATTTAAAGAAAAAAATGATAAATATATATGAAAACTTTTTACAGATTTTTAAGAAACCTTACCAGTTGTTTAAATACAACATGCACAATCGATTCAATTAATTTCAATAACACAAGGTCCTGGTAAACTTCTATTTATGAAATATGAAGTGGATGTGAATGAATGTTTCTAAAATGGTGCGTGAATGCATTTAAAATCATTATATTAAAATTTTATAAAAAAATATAAAAATATAAAAAAATATACTGATGTCTAAGAAATCTCAATTATTACTACTCCATAATCAAAATTCATACCTACACGTTGAACTGAACCAAATTTACGTTTCCTTTATATTCTAATTTAATAGCCTCGTCAAAAACAAACGAAGAAATCACTTTCGTCTCATTCATATCTTCAGTTCAATGTTATCTACTATATGCGTATCCCTATAAAAAAGGAATGTTCAGAAAACATACATAAAATAAACATAAAATGTACATTATACATAAAATGTCTATAGAATGTCCATAGAATACATAGGATATATGCAAAGGGGCTTTTTTGTACATTTTATATACAGTGAGCCCATTTTGTATATTTTTTATATATTTTATGGACATTCTATAGACATTTTATGTATATTGTATATTTTACGTATATATTCTAAACATTCCTTTTTTATAGGTATGTGTGTATTTTTTTAATATCATCTTGTACAATGGCAGAAACTTGGCAGAAATTACTGTTAACATTAATAATTTACAGCGATTTGTTTTTTTCTTTTATGACGAAAAAAATGAAGATATTTGGTTGTAAATTATTAACCATTGTGAAAAAATACGTTTGTATGACATAGATCAATGAATGCTCGAAAAGGTTTCTACAATGACAATATAATGAATTAGGATTTTTGTTTTCCACATTGTTTTCTATGTACGGTATGAAATGTTACCTTTATTGAATTACAACTATCATGTCGTTTTTTTCTTGACATTGTACTGATTTTAAGACTCTTGCTTCTAATTTACTTTCATATTAGTTATATATTAAAAGTTGAAAAAATACTTTTTTGATAAAAAAATACTTTCCCAATTTCATGCTAATAACATAATATTATGATATATGGCATTACGGTTACAACACTTGCCATAATGCTATAATCTGGTTGTAAGCGATTCAAACTTTAAAAAGTAATTCAACAACCGGATGGCAATACTCAACATTATTATTCAAACAATGATTATATTCCGCGATTACAAAGTTTGACACACAACCTTATCATTATATATTATTTCGGCTATAATTTGTAATGAAATTTCTTTGATTCATCCCGTAATTTTGTAATGAATTTCTTTCGATTCGCCAAGATATAACGATCTGCTAATCTACTGGATCACGAATTGGCAATTTATACGATCGGCAAATTTATACTAATTACGAATTGGAATTCAATAAGAATTAGCGAATTTATACGAGAATTTACACGAGTTAGTGAATTCATACGAATTCGCGAATTTTACGAATTTGTGAATTTATATGAATTTGCGAATTTATAACGAATTGGCGATCGATATAAGAAATAAAAGTTATATTGCAACGTCTAACAAATAAAAGTTATATTGCGATATCAAATATATCTCCGATTATATCAAAATTTTATTTTAATATATTGTCCTTTTTACAGATATTATATAATTTTACTCATTTATACTATTATAGTATTATTACTAATGCTAATTGATGATCATCTATTCTAATAAGCGAGGTTAAATTATGTAAGCAAGAAATAATTGAGAATATTGGATCAAAAAAGGATTTCTCAGGGTTATCTTCATGATCTTTTACCGATTGTTTACAATGTTTAAATGTTTACCTTATAATAATAATTTTTTTTTTTTGTGTCATGATTTTGTAATGTTTTCTAATGATTAATGAGTGAACGTTGAATGAATACCATAAAACGGGATTCATTAAACAGCTAATAAAATTTCGGTATTACCTTTAAAAATAAAGGGTATAATTCAATTAAAGTTTAGTTTTTTTTTTACTTTTAACAAATTATAACAAGGTGTAACCGATTACAAGGGAGCCAGGGGTGAGATATTATTTATTTATTTATTATTAAACGTTTTGTTATCTCTCTCATTTCAATGGTTAAATTTATTTCTTTTTTTATTTGTTATTTTGATAGATTATCATATTAGGAAAGTACCAACATTTGAATCGTAAGAACAATCAAAAAAAAAAAAAAAAAAATTAAAAATTTTTTTTTTGTGTAAATGATTATCTCCGTCAAATATTTTAATATAGTAAATTAAACAAGGTAAAATTTTTTTTTTCCGGAAATTTTATTTTTCATTTTTGGTATAATATATAATATATATATATGTATGTATTTTATGTATTTTTTTAACTTTAACTAAATAAATGATGAAACTCCGGTTCGTTAGAAAATAATTGAAGTTAAAATTCATTAAAGTTAAAATAATAATAAATAATAAATATTTTTTTTATGAAATGATATTTAATATTTTTTTTATATACAAATAAATAAAAAATTTTTATTTTTTATTTTTTATTTTTTATTTTTTAATTTATTCCTAATTCCTAATTCCTCATAATTCCAAATTCAATAATTCTATAATTCTTTTTATTATTGTTATTTTAATAACTACTTCCGGATGCTCTGGATGATATTTCTAAATCACTTTTTACATTTTCACCATTATCAGGAATTGGAAAAGTTGTTTCATTTAATGATTTTTTACGTCTTTTTATAAAAAAGAAAATACTTAATGATGTAATACAAATCATACCTAAAACACCAAATACTACACCAATTATAATTCTTATATTATTTTTATTGTTATATTGTTGTTGAGGTAGTTGTTGAGGTGGTATAGCAGCATCAGGATCAAAATAATCGGTCCAAATATAATTTGAAGAATTACCAATATCAAGTAAAAGTACATCACTTTCACCAATGTTTCTATATGTAAAATTAAAATTAGTACCAGAACCTTAAAAAAATATATATGTATATAAATAAAGAATAGTATTAAAATATTATAAATAAGAAATAATGTAAAATAATTAATTGACAATTCAAATTTATTTTATTTTTTCACTTACCAAATGTTATGACCATATATTTTCCAATTACATTGGCAGTATGTTCTAAACGTTTCATGATGGGACCTTTTCCTGAAACATTTGGTTCGTACCAATTAGAATTTGTAGTATCCAATACATATAACATTTTATTATCAATATCACCACCACCAAAAACAATTATTCTAAAACCATCTAATCCAAGTACAGAAGATATACCATTATCACCATTTGGGATAGAACCAGCAGTAGATTGCCGTTCCCAATTACTATTATTAGTATTATATAAATATACCACACGAAAACCATCAGTGATGAGTGTACCATCAGATCCCTTTCCACCCATATAAACTATTTTACCATTTGGTAATAAAGTAGCGGAATATTCAACTCTTAACATACTAGTAAATATATCATAATCTAGTACACAAGATAAATTTATTGTATCAAAAATAAACATTCCTCCATTACGTTTTACATTTTGAAGAGTTGTAAAAGAAAAACCGGCAAGTAAATATATTTTACCATTACGATCAGTTATAGGTTTCATTTGATTTCTACCAATAGGTATATCACCTGTTATATTTGGTTGGAAAAGATTATTCCATGAATAATCACTTGTATTAAAAGTTAGAACTGGAGGTAATGTTTTATCGTGTTCATTATTTATAAAATATATTGTAACATTATTATTACCACCATAACTCGCTGCTACACCTCCAGAAAGCACGGAAGAAAAATTGTTCAAAGGAAGATTTTTATTATCTGCAGTCCATGGTAATTTTGAAGTATAAAAAGGTTTTGATACGTCAAGATAAAAAAATCTATCATCTGGACTTTGATTATATGTACTTTCAATCGTATCAGAAAATGGATTATCTCTGAATCCACCAAAAATATAAAGTTTTTTATCGACAAGAATTGAGCTATGTAATAAACGAACTTTAGGTAATGCAGGTATTGATAATTCAGATTTCACTATCGTTAAAATTTGAAGTAATAATAATAGTCTAAAATTAAACATTTTTTTTTTTTAAAAAAAATGGGGGATAGATGTTTATTTAATATTTGGCTTTCTAGTTTCCATTTTCAAATAAGCTTTTGAAAATATTAAATCACATGCCAGTGGTTTATTTTGAACATATAATAAATATATTTTTTGATTCATAAAAAAGGTACAATTTTAGTAATCTGGGTACTTTGCTTTGTACATTTTTACTTATAAGGAATTGGTCTATTTGACCATTGGTCTATAAAGGTCTGGTTCGCAGTGAAAATATGCAATTGTATGTAAGATACTTTATTACAATGGTTTTTTTTGGAGATTTTACTGCGTATTTTTTATTATCCCATCAGATCTAAGATTTATTAGAGTCAATTCGTATTGTATATATTACGTATTATAACATGGTTTTATTTAATCTTTTGAGACCATTAAATAATTTTTTGAAATAAAAACGTACTAATTATCAAAATTATCTAGGGAAAGTAAAAAAAAAAAAAGTTCAAAAAAGTGGAATTAATACAAATTATTTATCTAGAAAAAAAAGTTTTTTTTTTTAATTTCGTAATAAATTTCTTTCTTTCCTAATATTAGTCTTTGTTTCGATTCATTTCTTGATCTTGTCATATTTTTTCTCATTAGAACCAAAAAAAATTCTTAACCTAGTCTTTTCATTTAAATTGAGAGAATTTATTTTATCGGTTACAATTGTTTCATCTGAAAATCCACGAGCAATTAGACTATTGGTTGGAAAAATAAGCAAAATATTTAAATTCTAATTCCCTCCTTAATGACATTTGCGTCAATGACTTTTTGCTTCAATTTGGAATTTTTTTAAAATCTTGAATTTCGCAGATGTCTGAAAAAAAGTATTATTATAATTGAAATTATTGAAATTGATTTTTTTTTTACGAATTGGTTGAAGACTCCTATTTGTTAGTCCGAACTCCGAAATAAGGTTTGATATGCGCAAAAGTGTCATTCTTGATATATAAAGAACAAAATAAATATATATCTATCAAGAATCATACTATAAACATGTCAAGAATGATATTGTTGCTTCGCATGTGATACTGTAACGAAAAACTTTAATTGGCTTATAACGCCCTGTAATCATTTTTCTAAAAATTTTTATGGGGACGGTTTCCGTTTCCTATGTAGTAGATAGGATTTTAACTCTATTAACGGAATCTAAATAAGAAGAGAAAGCATGTAATCACGGATTTGTAAGGTATGTTTTCATGGGATATTTCAACATTTTGAACATGTGAAATATTTTGTACATTTCTAATATTTGGAATATTTGGAATATGTTGAATAATTGGCATCACGAAAACTACAAACTCCATGATTCTTTTTCATCCAATTTTTTGTCTGCAAAATTTTCAATAAAGACTTGACTTCCTTTTATTTTCTTTTCATTGGATAATCATACGTATGTAATTTAATGTATTTTTAACTTTAGTTAAATAAATGATGAAACTCCGGTTCGTTAGAAAATAATTGAAGTTAAAATTCATTAAAGTTAAAATAATAATAAATATTAAATATTTTTTTTATGAAATGATATTTAATATTTTTTTTATATACAAATAAATAAAAAATTTTTATTTTTTATTTTTTATTTTTTAATTTATTCCTAATTCCTAATTCCTCATAATTCCAAATTCAATAATTCTATAATTCTTTTTATTATTATTATTTTAATAACTACTTCCGGATGCTCTGGATGATATTTCTAAATCACTTTTTACATTTTCACCATTATCAGGAATTGGAAAAGTTGTTTCATTTAATGATTTTTTACGTCTTTTTATAAAAAAGAAAATACTTAATGATGTAATACAAATCATACCTAAAACACCAAATACTACACCAATTATAATTCTTATATTATTTTTATTGTTATATTGTTGTTGAGGTAGTTGTTGAGGTGGTATAGCAGCATCAGGATCAAAATAATCGGTCCAAATATAATTTGAAGAATTACCAATATCAAGTAAAAGTACATCACTTTCACCAATGTTTCTATATGTAAAATTAAAATTAGTACCAGAACCTTAAAAAAATATATATGTATATAAATAAAGAATAGTATTAAAATATTATAAATAAGAAATAATGTAAAATAATTAATTGACAATTCAAATTTATTTTATTTTTTCACTTACCAAATGTTATGACCATATATTTTCCAATTACATTGGCAGTATGTTCTAAACGTTTCATGATGGGACCTTTTCCTGAAACATTTGGTTCGTACCAATTAGAATTTGTAGTATCCAATACATATAACATTTTATTATCAATATCACCACCACCAAAAACAATTATTCTAAAACCATCTAATCCAAGTACAGAAGATATACCATTATCACCATTTGGGATAGAACCAGCAGTAGATTGCCGTTCCCAATTACTATTATTAGTATTATATAAATATACCACACGAAAACCATCAGTGATGAGTGTACCATCAGATCCCTTTCCACCCATATAAACTATTTTACCATTTGGTAATAAAGTAGCGGAATATTCAACTCTTAACATACTAGTAAATATATCATAATCTAGTACACAAGATAAATTTATTGTATCAAAAATAAACATTCCTCCATTACGTTTTACATTTTGAAGAGTTGTAAAAGAAAAACCGGCAAGTAAATATATTTTACCATTACGATCAGTTATAGGTTTCATTTGATTTCTACCAATAGGTATATCACCTGTTATATTTGGTTGGAAAAGATTATTCCATGAATAATCACTTGTATTAAAAGTTAGAACTGGAGGTAATGTTTTATCGTGTTCATTATTTATAAAATATATTGTAACATTATTATTACCACCATAACTCGCTGCTACACCTCCAGAAAGCACGGAAGAAAAATTGTTCAAAGGAAGATTTTTATTATCTGCAGTCCATGGTAATTTTGAAGTATAAAAAGGTTTTGATACGTCAAGATAAAAAAATCTATCATCTGGACTTTGATTATATGTACTTTCAATCGTATCAGAAAATGGATTATCTCTGAATCCACCAAAAATATAAAGTTTTTTATCGACAAGAATTGAGCTATGTAATAAACGAACTTTAGGTAATGAAGGTATTGATAATTCAGATTTCACTATCGTTAAAATTTGAAGTAATAATAATAGTCTAAAATTAAACATTTTTTTTTTTTTAAAAAAAAAGGGGGGAAGATTTTTATTTAATATTTGGCTTTCTAGTTTCTATTTTCAAATAAGCTTTTGAAAATATTAAATCACATGCCAGTGGTTTATTTTTGAACATATAATAAATATATTTTTTGATTCATAAAAAAGGTACAATTTTAGTAATCTGGGTACTTTGCTTTGTACATTTTTACTTATAAGGAATTGGTCTATTTGACCATTGGTCTATAAAGGTCTGGTTCGCAGTGAAAATATGCAATTGTATGTAAGAATACTTTATTACAATGGTTTTTTTTGGAGATTTTACTGCGTATTTTTTATTATCCCATCAGATCTAAGATTTATTAGAGTCAATTCGTATTGTATATATTACGTATTATAACATGGTTTTATTTAATCTTTTGAGACCATTAAATAATTTTTTGAAATAAAAACGTACTAATTATCAAAATTATCTAGGGAAAGTAAAAAAAAAAAAAAGTTCAAAAAAGTGGAATTAATACAAATTATTTATCTAGAAAAAAAAGTTTTTTTTTTTAATTTCGTAATAAATTTCTTTCTTTCCTAATATTAGTCTTTGTTTCGATTCATTTCTTGATCTTGTCATATTTTTTCTCATTAGAACCAAAAAAAATTCTTAACCTAGTCTTTTCATTTAAATTGAGAGAATTTATTTTATCGGTTACAATTGTTTCATCTGAAAATCCACGAGCAATTAGACTATTGGTTGGAAAAATAAGCAAAATATTTAAATTCTAATTCCCTCCTTAATGACATTTGCGTCAATGACTTTTTGCTTCAATTTGGAATTTTTTTAAAATCTTGAATTTCGCAGATGTCTGAAAAAAAGTATTATTATAATTGAAATTATTGAAATTGATTTTTTTTTTACGAATTGGTTGAAGACTCCTATTTGTTAGTCCGAACTCCGAAATAAGGTTTGATATGCGCAAAAGTGTCATTCTTGATATATAAAGAACAAAATAAATATATATCTATCAAGAATCATACTATAAACATGTCAAGAATGATATTGTTGCTTCGCATGTGATACTGTAACGAAAAACTTTAATTGGCTTATAACGCCCTGTAATCATTTTTCTAAAAATTTTTATGGGGACGGTTTCCGTTTCCTATGTAGTAGATAGGATTTTAACTCTATTAACGGAATCTAAATAAGAAGAGAAAGCATGTAATCACGGATTTGTAAGGTATGTTTCATGGGATATTTCAACATTTTGAACATGTGAACATTTCGAACATTTTGAATAATTGAATATTTGATAATTGCCATCACGAAAATTACATGATTTTTTTTTTCAGGATTGATCTCTTCCAATTTTTTGTCTGTAAAATTTTCGATAAAGACTTGACTTCCTTTTATTTTCTTTTCATTGGATAATCATATGTATGCAATTTATTTACTTTAACTAAATAAATGATGAAACTCTGGTTCGTTAGAAATAATTAAAGTTAAAATTCATTAAAGTTAAAATAATAATAAATAATAAATTCTTTATGAATTATATTTATTTTATACATATAAATAAAAAAAATTTTAATTATTATTATTATTTTACTAAACTTCTTCCGGATGATAATTCTAACCACTCGGTACATTTTCGCTATTACCAGGAATCGGAAGGGCATTTTCATGTAATAAAATATTACGTCTTTTTATAAAAAAGAAAATACCGAATGGTATAATACAAATAATACCTAAAACACCAACTACTACACCAACTATAATTCTTGTATTATTTTTATCGTTATATTGAGTTGAGGTGGTGATGGATGTGGCGACGGTTGAGGTGATGATGATTGAGGTGGTATAACAGCATCAGGACTAAAATGATCGGTCCAAACATAATTTAAAGAATTACTAACATCAAGTAATAGTACATCAGCTTCACCTTTTTCTTTATATTCAAAATTAAAATTAGGACCAGAACCTAAAAAAAAATTATATATATATAAATAAAGAATAGTATTAAAATATATAGATAAGATAGAAATAATGTAAAAATAAACTTTTTCTTTTAAAAAAAAATGACCAATTAATCGACTAAAACTAACAATTCAAATTTATTTTATTTTTTCACTTACCAAATGCTATGACCATATATTTTCCAATTACATTGGCAGTATGACCAGAACATTTCATGGAGGGTTGTGTTCCTGAATTATTTGGTTCATACCAATTAAAATTTGTAGTATTCAATACATATAACATTTTATTGTCAGTATTATCACCACCGAAAACTATCATTCTAAAACCATCTAATCCAAGTACAGAAGATATACCATTATCACCATTTGGGATAGATCTGAACCACCAATTTCATCGACAATAACTGTCTTGACATTCATCTGGGAGTTGGAGGAAATCAAATAATAAGCAAATCATTGCAACATTTATAATAATATGATAACTTCGATTCATCTTAGCTAGTAGTTCACTGAGTGTTAAACGAACTTTGGACTCTGCAATCTCTTGGCTCCTCTTCCAGACAATATTACTGATTTCTGATGATGAATTCTCACACAGTTGATAAAGAAGGTAAACAAGTTAGATAATGGAAATAATATTTAACATGTTGATGACGACATAAAGCATTTTTCATGCACGTCGGTAAGTAGGTGTACACGCGAAAGAATCACACATTGATGAGCAAAGCCGTCGCGTTTCTCCTCCCCATCGAGTTAGAAAGCATCCAACCCTCCTCGAAAGCATCGAGCGGCGTAATGACAAGAAGTCTTGCCTGACACACCCTTTTTTGCATGGAACTAACCTTTAAATGTTTTTGCAATATCCGCGCTTTCTCCGCGCACAATCTGAATATATTGTATCAAAAATAAACATTCCTCCTTGATTACGAGTTACATTTTAAGAGTTGTAAAAGGAAAACCGGCAAGTAAATATATTTTACCATTATAGGCAGTTATAGGTCTCATTTGATTTCTACCTATAGGTCTTTCACCCGATATATTTTGTTGTGAATATGAATGCCATGAATTATCTTTTGTATTAAAAGTTAGAACTGGGGTAATGTTTTATCCTTTTCATTATTTATAAAATATATTGTATCGTTATTTGCACCACCATAACTCGCTGCTACGCCGTTAGAAATTATAGAAAAAAAGGCCAAAGGAAGATTTTTTCATTATCTGGTATTGCAGTCCATGGTAAAGTTGAAGTATCAAAAGGTCTTGATACGTCAAGATAAAAAAAATCTATCATCTGGACTTTGATTATATGTACTTTCAATCGTATCAGTAAGTGGATTATCTCTGAATCCACCAAAAATATAAAGTTTTTTATTAACAAGAATTGAGCTATGTAATGTACGAACACTAGGTGTCAAATCAGATTTCACTATCGTTAAAATTTGAAGTAATAATAATAGTCTGAAATTAAACATTATATTTTATTTTATTTTTTTAAAAAAAAAAAGGGAAAAAAATTTTTATTTAATATTTGAGTTTCATAGTTTCTATTTTCAAATAGGCTTTTGGAAATAATAAATCACATGCTAGTGGTTTATTTTCAACATTGAAACTACTGAATGAAATACATTTTTTGATTGATAAAAAAGATTAAGTTTACAATTTTAGTAATCTGGTAATTTACTTTGAACAATTTTACTTATAAGGAATTGGTCTATTGGTCTATAAAAGTCTTGCTCACAATGATAACTGTCTCTTATACACATCTAGATGTGTATAAGAGACAGGACAATTTTACTTATAAGGAATTGGTCTATTGGTCTATAAAAGTCTTGCTCACAATGATAAAATATGCAATGTAGATACTTTATTACAATGATTTTTTTTGGAGATTTTATTGCGGATTTTTTATTATTCCATCAGATCTAGAGTCAATTCGTATTGTACATATTACGTATTATCACATGGTTTTATTTAGTCTTTTGAGATCATTAAATAATTTTTGAAAAAAAAAAGTTCAAAAAAGTGGAATTAATACAAATTATTTATCTAGAAAAAAACCTTTTTTTCTTAATTTCGTAATAAATTTCTAATTCCCCCCTTAATGACATTTGTGTCAATGACAATCTAGAATTTTTTAAATTTAAAATCTTGAATTTCGCAGATGTCTGAAAAAAAGAATTATTATAAATGAATTGAATTGAAATTATTGAAATTGATTTTTACCTCACGAATTGGTTGAATACTCCTATTTATTAGTCCGAACTCCGAAATAAGATTAGATATGGATGTCCTTCCGGCAAAAGTGTCATTCTTGATATATAAAAAACAAAATAAATATATATCTATCAAGAATCATACTATATTTTGCTTCGCATGTGACACTGTGCAACAAAAAAACAAATTTTCTGAAAAAAATTCCTTATTTTTCTAGTTTTTATTTCAGAAAAACTCAGACATGTGAACATTTTTTTAAAAATTTTTATGGGGACGGTTTCCTGTTGTAGATATTTCTCGTCGTATATTTATATAATCAGTCAAATCAATCGAATTAGATTTAGGGATTTTAGGGATTTTAACCCTATTAACGCAATCTAATCCAAAATAAGAACAGAAAGGCATATTTTTGTAAAGGTATGTTTTCACGGGATATTTCAACATTTTGAACGTGAAATATTTTGAACATTTTGAATATTTGAATATTTGATAATTGGCATCACGAAAATTACAAACTCCATGATTCTTTTTCAGGAAGATCTCTTCCAATTTTTGTCTGTAAAATTTTCGATAAAGACTTGACTTCCTTTTATTTTCTTTTCATTGGATAATAATATTTATGTAATTTAATGTACATTATTTATAAATGATGAAACTCCGGTTCGTTAGAAATAATTGAAGTTAAAATTCATTAAGTTAAAATAATAATAAATAATAAATTCTTTATATACTGTTTATTTTATACATATAAATAAATAAAATTTTAATAATATAATTCTTCTATTATTATGATTTTTTTACTAAACTTCTTCCGGATGATAATTCTAAATCACTCGGTATAGCCATTACATTTTCGCTATTACTAGGAATTGAAAGGGCTTTTTCATGTAATAAATTTTTACGTCTTTTTATAAAAAAGAAAATACATAATGATATAATACAAATAATACCTAAAACACCAACAACTACACCAACTATAATTCCTGTATCATTTTTATTGTTATATTGAGTTGATGATTGAGGTGGTGATTGAGGTGGTACAACAGCATTAGGATCAAAATGATTGACCCAATTATAATTTGAAGAATTACCAATATCAAGTAAAAGTACATCATTTTCACCATTTTGTTTATAATCAAATTTTAAATTAGGATCAGAACCTAAAAAAAAATTATATATATATATATATATATAAAGAATAATATTAAAATATTATAAATAATGTAAATAATTTTTTTTTTTTAAAAAAAACGACCAATTGATCGACCAACCAAATCCAACAATTCAACACTTACCAAATGCTATGACCATATATCTTCCAATTACATTGGCAGTATGATCACGACGTTTTAAGGTGGGACCTTTTCCTGAAACATTTGGTTCATACCAATTAAAAGTTGTAGTATCCAATACATATAACATTTTATTGTCAATATTATGACCACCAAAAACTATTATTCTAAAACCATCTAATCCAAGTACAGAAGATATACCATTATCACCATTTGGGGTAGAATCACCAAAAGTGGGTTGCGGTTTCCAAGTATTATCAATAGTATTATACAAATATACTATACGAAAACCATCAGCGACGGGTTTACCATCAGGACCTTTAGGATCCTTTCCGCCCATATAAACTATTATACCATTTGGTAATAAAGTAGCGGAATATTCAACTCTTAACATACCATCTATAGCATCTTTTAGTACACAAGATAATTCTATTGTATCAAAAATAAACATTCCTCCTTGATTACGAGTTACATCTTGAATAGTTGTAAAAGGAAAACCGGCAAGTAAATATATTTTACCATTATAATCAGTTATAGGTCTCATTTGATTTCTACCGATAGGTCTTTCAACTGATATAGATGAATATTTAAGCCATGAATTATCACTTGTATTAAAAGTTAGAACTGAAGGTGATGTTGTATTTTCATTATTTATAAAATATATTGTATCATTCTTTTCACCACCATAACTCGCTGCTACACCTCCAGAAAGCACGGAAGAAAAAAGGTTCAAAAAAAGAGTTTTTTCATTATCTGGTATTGCAGTCCATGGTAAAGTTGAAGTATCAAAGGTCTTGATACGTCAAGATAAAAAAATCTATCATTTGGACTTTGATTATATGTACTTTCAATCGTATCAGTAAGTGGATTATCTCTGAATCCACCAAAAATATAAAGTTTTTTACCAACATAAATTGAGCTATGTAATGTACGAACACTAGGACTAGGTGTTAATAATTGAGATTTCACTATCGTTAAAATTTGAAGCAATAATAATAATAATATAAAATTGAACATTTTTTATTTTATTTTTTTTATTTTTTTTTTTAAAAAAAAACAAAAGAAAATAAAATTTTTATTTAACAATTAATATTTGACTTTCTAATTTCTATTTTTGATTTACTATTTTTAGAGAAGTTTTTTAACTATATTTGAATCTCATCGGGCCTTTATAACCGATCCACTTAAAAAAAAATGCTCATCAAACGATTCATTTAAAAAAACAAAATGCTCGTCAAACGATTCATAACAATATTAAATCACATGACTGATTTTTTGAACATTGAAACGAAATAATGTCAGAATGGAACCTGTAATTATATTTTTTGTAATCTTTAAATTTACAATTTTAGTAATCTGGTACTTATAAAAATTTTGTTTTTGTATAATTTTACTTATAAGGAATTGGTCTACCGGATATACAATCCGTATGTAGATTTTTATTATTTTAAGAGATTGATAATTTCGCTTATTTTTACGCATTACCACGTATTAATCGTATTATATGAAAGAAAAAGTGTACAAATTACAAAATTAATCAAAAAAGTGGAATTAATACAAAAAATAAATTCTTTTTTTTTTAATTTCGTAATAGATTTCTAATTCTTTCAATTCTCTCCTTAATAACATTTGTGTCAATGACTTTTGTTTCAATCTAGAATTTTTTAAAATCTTGAATTTCGAAGATGTCTGAAAAAAAAAAATGTTCAATAATAATAATTATGATTATTATAAATGAATTGAATTGAATTTGATTTTTTAAAAAGGCTTGATTTTATCTCACAAATTAGTTAGACTCCTATTTATAGATATTTCCGTCGCACGTATAATTGTATAATCGGTCGAATCAGATTTAGAGATTTTAGGGATAACGCGATCTAATCCTAAATAAGAAGAGAAAGGTATGTAACCACGGGTTTTGGTTTTCACGAGATATTTCAACATTTTGAACATGTGAAATACTTTGAACATTTGAATATGTTGAATATTTTGAATATTTGAAATAAATACTTGGGATACGTTGAATATTTGGAACATCTTGAACATCACGAACATCACAAACATTACGAAAATTACGAATTTCATGATTTGACTTTTTTTATTTTCTTTTCATTGGATAATCCTTTGTATGTAATTGAATGTATATTTTAATTGAAACTCCGGTTCGTTAGAAATAATTGAAGTTACAATTCGTTAAAATTAAAATATAATAATAAATAATAAATTCTTTATGAATTATATTTATACACATAAATTAAATAAATTATTTTTTTTATTCTCATTTCAAATATAACAATACAGTATAATTCTATTATTATTATTATTTTACTAAATTTCTTCCGGACGATAATTCTAAATCACTCGGTATAGGCATTACATTTTCACCATCACTAGTAGCTTTTTCATGTAGTAAATTTTTACGTCTTTTTATAAAAAAGAAAATACTTAATGATGTAATAATAATAATACCTAAAACACCAACTACTACACCAACTATAATTCCTGTATTATTTTTATTATTAGAATTATTATCAGATTGAGTTGAATCTGATGTTGATGATGATTGAGGTGGTATAACAGCATTAGGATCAAAATTATTGGTCCAAATATAATTTGAAGAATTACCAATATCAAGTAAAAGTACATCACTTTCACCATTTTTCCTATAATTAAAATTTAAACCAAAACCAGAACCTAAATAAAGGATAGTATTAAAACATTATCAATAACGTAATTTTTTTTTTAAAAAAAAAACGACCAATTGATCGACCAACCAAATCCAACAATTCAACACTTACCAAATGCTATGACCATATATCTTCCAATTACATTGGCAGTATGATCAAAACGTTTTATGGTGGGACCTTTTCCTGAAACATTTGGTTCGTACCAATTAAAATTTGTAGTATCCAATACATATAACATTTTATTATCAATATCATCACCACCAAAAACAATTATTCTAAAACCATCTAATCCAAGTACAGAAGATATACCATTATCACCATTTGGGATAGAATCACCAAAAGTGGGTTGTGGTTTCCAAGTATTATCATTAGTATTATATAAGTATACCACACGAAAACCATCAGTGGCGGGTTTACCAGCAGGTTCCTTTCCACCCATATAAACTATTATACCATTTGGTAATAAAGTAGCGGAATATTCAACTCTTGATATAGCAGTATCTTTTAGTACACAAGATAAATTTGTTGTATCAAAAATAATCATTCCTCCTTGATTACGAGTTACACCTTGAAGAGTTGTAAAAGGAAAACCGGCAAGTAAAAATATTTTACCACTATAATCAGTTATAGGTCTCATTTGATTTCTACCAATAGGTCTTTCACCTGATATAATTTGTTGTGAATATGAATTCCATGAATTATCTTTTGTATTAAAAGTTAGAACTGGAGGTAATGTTTTATCCTTTTCATTATTTATAAAATATATTGTATCGTTATTTGCACCACCATAACTCGCTGTTACGCCTCCAGAAATTATAGAAGTAAAAAAGTTCAAAGGAAGATTTTTGTCATTATCTGGTATTGCAGTCCATGGTAAAGTTGAAGTATCAAAAGGTTTTGATACGTCAAGATAAAAAAATCTATCATCTGGATTTAGATTATATGTACTTTCAATCGTAACATTAGGTACAAAATCTTTGAATCCACTAAAAATATAAAGTTTTTTATCGACAAGAATTGAGCTATGTAATGTACGAACATTAGGTGTTAATAACTGAGATTTCACTATCGTTAAAATCTGAAGTAATAATAATAGTCTAAAATTAAACATATTTTTTTTTTTGTTTTTATAAAAAAAAAAAGGAAGGGAAAAAAATTTTTTTATTTAATATTAGTTTCTATTTAATTTTACTATTTTTAGAGAAACTTTTAAACTATATTTGAATGCTCATTTAAAAAAAAAAAAAAACAAACTTGGAAAATATTAAATCACATGACACTGTTTTCTTAACATTGAAACCTGTTTACAATCTCTAAATTTACAATTTTAGCAATCTGGTGCTAATTAAAAAAATTGGTTTGTATAATTTTACTTATAAGTAATTGAACTACCGCCCTATATAGGTCTGGCTCAATATGCAATTGTATGTAGGATGCTTTATTGCAATGTTTCATCCCTTGTTTTTGTCGGAGATTTACTGCGGACGTTTTTGTGGATTTATTATTTTACCAAAATGGGAGATATACAGTATATAATTTTTTGTTAATTAGAGATGATAATCAATTTGTTTACTTGCCTTTACGTATTACAGTGTATTATACGTATTTTTTTTTATTAAAAGAAAGGAAAAGAAAAGAGAAAAAGTGTACAAAATTAATCTAGGAAAAGTAAAAAAAGTTCGAAAAAGTGGAATTAATACAAATTATATACAAAGAATTTTCTAAAAAAAAGTTTTCTCTCTTAATGACATTTGTGTAGAATAGAATTTTTTAATTTAGTAGATGTCTAAAAAAAAGTTTTTTAATAATTATGATTTTAAAAGATTTGATTTTTACCTCATGAAGACCCCTATTTATAGATATTTCCATCAGATCAGATTTAACAATGATAGGGATTTTGGCGCCATTAGCTCAATCTAATCCTAAATAAGAAGAAAAGGTATATAATCAAGGTATGTTTTCACAACATTTTAGACATGTGAAATATTTTGAACATTGGAATATTTGGAATATTTGAATATGTTGAATATTTGGAAACGAACCTGTACGAAAATTTGATATACTGAACCATATATTACAGACCCGATTTTTTTTATAACTAATTGTGCTAGATATAACGAAACTATATAATAAAATGCTATCGCATCCGAACCTATTTTAACCGGGCGATTATATATTAAACCTATATATTTGATACCAAATATCACGTTATATAAATTAGTTACACCACAAAATTCAAGAAAGAGAGTTACTGTACAAAAACGTAAACTTTGCGAAACAAAAGAAAAAATCCAACCCTTTCTAATGTTAGCTTTGTAAAACAATACCGTGTCGGAAAGTCAACAATAACTGACATTTTGAAAGAAAAAGAGCGTATAGAAGTATTAAATTCGTAAATCATCAAAATAGTCACATGTCTATATTTTATCATTGGTTACTGAACAATTCGGTATAAAAATATATTATATAATGAACTCATCCTATACCAAACCAAACGAAAGGTTCGTTATATCCAGAATTGATTGTATTTTGAATATTTTGAGTATATTGAATGTTTGGAATATGTGGAGAATATGTGGAGAATATGTGGAATATTTGGAATATTTAGAATATCTTGAACATATCACAAAAATTACGAACTTGATCTTTTTCAATTTTTTGTCTGTAAAATTTTCGATAAAGACTTGACAACCTTTTATTTTCTTTTCATTGGATAATCCTATGTTATGTAATTTAATGTATATTTTAACTAAATAAATAATGAAACTCTGGTTCGTTAAAATAATTGGTTTAAAATTCGTTAAAGTTAAAAGAATAATAAATATTACAGTCTTTATGAATTATATTTTATACACATAAATAAATAGAATTTTTTTTTTTTATTCCCAATTCCTCATTATTACGAATTTCTTCCAGATGATAATTCTAAACCACTTGGTATAGGCATTACATTTTCACCATCTCTAACAATTGGAAGAGCTTTTTCATGTAGTAAATATTTACGTCTTTTTATAAAGAAGAAAATACTTAATGATGTAATAAAAATAATACCTAAAACACCAAATACTACACCAACTATAATTCCTGTATTATCATCAGATTGAGTTGAATTTGATGATGGTATAACAGCATTAGGATTAAAATTATTGGTCCAAATATAATTTGAAGAATTACCAATATCAATATCAAGTAAAAGTACATCACTTTCACCATTTTTCCGATATTAAAATTTAAAACAGGACCAGAACCTAAATAAAGGATAGTATTAAAATATTATGAATAACGTAATTTTTTTTTCTTAAAAAATCGACCAAAAATTCAAATTCAAATTCATTTAATTTTATTTTTTTCACTTACCAAATGCTATGACCATATATCTTCCAATTACATTGGCAGTATGATCAAAACGTTTCATGGTGGGACTTTTTCCTGAAACATTTGGTTCGTACTAATTAAAAGTTGTTGTATCCAATACATATAACATTTTATTGTCAGTATTATCACCACCAAAAACAATTATTCTAAAACCATCTAATCCAAGTACAGAAGATATACCATTATCACCATTTGGGATAGAATCACCAAAAGTGTTTTGTGATTTCCAAGTATTATCATTAGTATTATATAAATGTACTACACGAAAACCATCAGCGACGGATTTACCAGGAGAATCCCTAGGATCCCTTCCACCCATATAAACTATTGTACCATTTGGTAATAAAGTAGCGGAATATTCAACTCTTGACATACCATCTATAACATCTTTTAGTACACAATTTGAATTTATTGTATCAAAAATAAACATTCCTCCTTCATCACGAGTTACACCTTGAAGAGTTGTAAAAGATAAGCCGGCAAGTAAATATATTTTACCACTATAATCAGTTATAGGTCTAATTTGATTTTTACTAATAGGTCTTTCACCTGATATAATTTGTTGTGAATATGAATTCCATGAATTATCTTTTGTATTAAAAGATAGAACTGGAGGTAATGTTTTATCGAATTCATTATTTATAAAATATATTGTATCATTATTTGTACCACCATAACTCGCTGCTACACCTCCAGAAAATACAGAACTAAAAAATTTCAAAGGAAGATTTTTTTCATTAGCTGGTATTGCAGTCCATGGTAAAGTTGAAGTATCAAAAGGTTTTGATACATCAAGATAAAAAAATCTATCATTTGGATTTAGATTATATGTACTTTCAATCATATCATTAAGACGATCTTTGAATCCACCAAAAATATAAAGTTTTTTATCGACAAGAATTGAGCTATGTAATGTACGAACACTAGGGGTTAAAAACTGAGATTTCACTATCAGTAAAATTTAAAGTAATAATAATAGTCTAAAATTAAACATTTTATTTTTTTTTTTTAAAAAAAAGGAAGATTGAGAAACTTTTTAAAAAAAACCAAACTTGGAAAATATTAAATCACGTGACATTATTTTTTGAGTAAATATATTTTTTGCAATCTTTAAATTTACAATTTTGGCAATCTGGTGCTACAATTTCGATATGTAATTGTATGTAGGATACATTGTTCAATGTTTCATCCTTGAGATTTTACTGCGGATTTTTTATTATTTCACCGAAAAGGGAGATCTAGAGCAAATTCGTATTATCAGAGATTTAAGTATTGATCTTGTTTACTTTTCTTACTTTTACGCATTACCACGTATTATATGTATTTTTTTTTTATTAAAAGAAAAGGAAAAGAAAAAAGTGTACAAATTACAAAATTAATCTAGGAAAAATAAAAAAAAAGTTCAAAAAAATGGAATTAACACAAATTATTTACAAAGAATTTCCTAAAAAAAAAAAAGTTCTTAATTTTTTTTAATTTCGTAATAAATTTCTAATTCTCTCAATTCTCTCCTTAATTACATTTGTGTTAATGACTTTTGTTTCAATTTTGTTCAATCTAGAATTTTTTAAAATCTTGAATTTCGCAGATGCCTGAAAAAAAGATTTTAATAATAATAATTATGATTAATATAAAATGAATTGAATTTAAAATTGGTTTTTTTTTTAAAAGATTTGATTTTTACCTCACGAATTAGTTGGAGACTCCTATTTATAGATATTTCCGTCGCACTTGGTAATGGTAAATTTGTATAATCAGTCGAATCAGTCGAATCAGTCGAATCAATCAGATCAGTCGAATCAGATTTAACAATAGTAGGGATTTTGGGGATTTTAACGCCATTAGCTCTATTAACGCAATCTAATCCTAAATAAGAAGAGAAAGGTGTGTAATCACGGGGTTTGTAAGGTATGTCTTCACGGGGGTTTTCAACATTTTTAACATGTGGAATATTTTGAACATTTCGATTATTTGGAATATTTGGAATATTTGGAATATTTTGAGTATGTTGAATATTTGGAATATGTTGAATATTTTGAGTATATTGAATATTTGGAATATGTTGAATATTTGGAGCATTTGGAATATTTGGAATATGTTGAATATTTGGAACACGAACATCATGAAAATTACGAACTTCATGATTCTTTTTCGGAAAGATCTCTTCCAATTTTTTGTCTGTAAAATTTTCGATAAAGACTTGACAACCTTTTATTTTCTTTTCATTAGATAATCCTAAATAAACATTAAATCCTCCGAGAGACAAAGATTCTCCAAAACCACTATCACGTTTTGTGTAAGACATTGTGTATTATTAAAAAAAAAGAGAGAATATTTTTTTTTTTCTTTTAAAGGAATTTAGATTTTAGACCTTGTTTTTTGTTGTTAAACTTTTTTTGCTAAACTTTTTTTTTGTTAATCGTTTTAATTTTTTTATTTTTTTTTAATCGTGAGCGAAGTCATTGAGACCATCATTATATAAGAAATTTTTTTTGAATATTAAAATTTGAACAAAACAATAAACATGATTAAAATTTTAGTTCTAAACTAATCATAAAAATCAAAAAAGAACGCGAAAGTTTACATTATGTAAGGGAGATGCATAATTATAGATTAAGTTGTAAGATCCGTATGATCCATTCCCTACATTACACAGAAATTCAAAATTTCCATTGTTAAAAAGATTTTCTAGAATAATTTTTTGATGAGTTTAAAACATTCAGTGTAATATAAGAATATTTTGATTGCATTGAGACTTAATAAAATAATTGGATAATGTAAATCAAATAATTTAATCGATAATTTTTTCTTTAGATGGTTCCAATCTTATCAATTTATTTATGTACTGTAATATTTGTATATAATTTTTACAGGAAATAATTGTATGATTGGTTAAAGATTATTTTACTTCATGTACAGTACCTATTTATAACTGGAATATAACTGAATATAACTGGAAATAACCGGATGGATATCGGTCTTTGACCGATATCCTTACAATACTACAGTATCCAATAGGAATTGAATGCTATTAATGCTGATTTCAATATTGGATGCCTCATAAAAATATTAAATCCCGCATATTCCTAATCGATTGAACAATAACTCGATTTAAATTTATACCTGAGGAATTTATTTATTGCATTTATTTGGTATCAAACTACATTAGTATATAAAAATGTCAAAAATAGATGTTAAACACTTAAACAAATTTGTCAATTTTACTAGAATTGGTAAAAAGAAGAATAAGATCATTTATAAACGCTTTATAATATATTACTACATAGAAGCAAGACTATCACGTGAACGATTTTATTACAGGAATAACTACTGTATATATATCATGATTGTTGTAGCTTCGGCCCAAATTATCATTTTTATTTGGTTTATTAACCAGAGTTTCTGTTATCGGTTTATTTTATAGGATATTACATTCTATTATCGGTAAATTATATGACCTTTCTAGGTTGTCGGATTAGTTATTACCCCGTTGGAACCTTGTGATACATTATAAATAGTTGATCGATCTGTGATCGAATTATTTAAGCAATTTATAATTTAGCCGTAATTTTCGTAATTTTAAAGTTCACCATATAAAAATTTGGGAAATTTTGTCATACAATGAAAAATGGTGTGTGCGTATAATTATATTATAGTATTATAAGTATTATACTAAGATTTACTATGTCACATATCAATAATTTTTGATTATACCATGTTTTAACGCAGAGAACAGATTATGTGCATAATCTGCAAAGTTGTCACTTCGGTGACCCGTTACACAGTGAGAATTTCAAGTACAATATTCGAAAAAAAAAATTCATTTTTTTTTTTTAAAAAAAAAAAAAAAAAAAAAAATTTTTTTTTCCTGTCCTACTTTTTTTTTCCCTCTCAAAAATTTTACTTTTTTTAAAAAAAATGCCACATATTAATGGAGATTGTCTTGAAATTATTTTAAATGAATTAAGATTTGATTCATCAACTCTTCATTCATGTATTTTGGTAAATAGATTATGGTGTCGTATAACCATACCAATATTATGGAAAAAATTTTTTTATTTTTATTATTGCAATAAAACCGAACCAAATTCAAGGAATAAATTTTATGATATAATAATCTATTTATTACCAAAATCATCAAAACAACTTTTATTTGATAAAAATATATTAAAATCACCTTATAATCATCATAATAATAATGATGATTCATTACCACCATTATTTAATTATATAAATTATTTTACTCAAATTTCCCCAAATTTTATTGATAATGTGATACAAAAATTAATTAATAAAGATTTTAAATCTATTAAATTTCAAGATCAAGTTCAAGAAAAAGATAATTATGAAAAAGATAATTATTATTATAATTTTAATAATAATAATAATGATAATAATTATAATAAAAATTTTATATTAGAACAAGAAATTTATAAATTATTTATAAATAATTGTAATAATATTAAATTTTTTCAATGGGAAACTATTCAACCTTTAACAAGATTTTTAGGAATTTCAAAATGTTTTTCTCAATTACGTTTTTTAAGTATTGATCTTGAACTTGTTAATTCTTTATCATTATTTGAAATGTCACAAATTTGTCAAAATATTGAATATTTAGGATTAAGAAATTGTAATCAAGATATACCAGGATTAATTAATTTTATAGATATTCAAAAGAATTTACAATCTTTGAATTTTTATTTATATAATACAGGTAGTATAAAAAATCAATGTATACAATTAAGTGAAGTTATTGAAAGGAAAGCTATTACTTTAAAAAAATTTACTATAGTTTCAGATATAACTTTACTTTCTCCTAAAATTCTTCCTTCTTTAATAAATTTAGAATCTTTAGAAATTGATGGTAGAGCTATGAATAAAGAAAATATAGAATTACATATTAAAGAATGGAGAAAATATTTATCTTTAGCTAATTTTCCTAATTTACAATATCTTAAAACTGATTGGCCATTTTTTAAAGAACATTTATTAATCGAAAAATCTAATGGTAATATATTAGAAATTAGAATTTATCGTAATCATGATCCTATTTATACAAATCAATTAATTAATTCAATATCAAGATTTTGTCCAAGGATTGAAAGATTAACTATTTGTGTTGAAATTGAAAATTTTGATGGAATAAAAGAAATTTTTTTAAATTGTAATCAATTAAAAAAAATTTATTTATTAACAAAGAATGAAGGTAAATTTAATTGTGATGATTTATTAAAAATTTTATTAGATTATTCTTCAAAAAATTTTTATGAATTTTGTTTTGATGATAATTGGATTTTTACTGTTGAAGCTTTAGAAATTTTTTTTGAAAATTGGAGATGTAGGAATCCTTTAATATTTAAGAAATATGGTTATAAAAGATTATATTTTAAAGATGATCATGAATTTATTGTTAGAAAATATTATAATGAAGGTGTAATTAAAGAAACAAATTGTTTAATATATTTATAATGTTTTTGTAGGGAATAATTTAAAAAAAAAAAGTAATTTAGGGAATAGATTTAAGATATGTATAAATATACGTATTATGTATAATAAATAATTAAGGAATAAATAGGTTTTTTATTAATGCATATGCGATTGATTTATATATTTATTTTTATGTATTAATAGATTACTAACATACATGCGATATATAACAAAATTATCTTTTATCTTGAAAATATATTTGTTCTAAGCTAGCTGATCAGTCAGCATCAAGGAGACTGCGCTTTACTTTTAAATCCGTATCACACTTCGTACGACCGAAAATTGCGTAACAGTCGGATAAAACGCATTTGTAAGTCGATCTCGTTTCTCATCCATCGAAAGATAAATGATGAAATTAGTGTTAATTATAGGAACTTAAACCTTTGGAATGTCACTGATATAGACAAGCTTAAAGATGTTACTTAAAAAAAGAGCTTAACGGTGGGATGTTAAGAAATTTGTTTATGAGAACATTATCTCCGCTTACGTCATCCAAAATTTTTTATTATAGAACAAGTATATTGATTGTATTATATAAGAATATTCAATATACACGTACTATGTTTTAACCACTTCTGTATCAGTATTATTATGTGAGTGTGAATAACAACATTAAATCATGATCATTATTTAGAAAGGAATAAATGAGCAATTTGCCAGCTGTTCTAACTCTCCGATGTGCATTTTTGTACTTTTGGTTCTTTTTAATAAGATCGTTGACGTTTTTGTATGGTCGATTCTCACATATAGCTTCAGATATGGCATTATCAATCCCTGTAATAGTCTCAGCAATTCGTTTGGACATATGGCAAATGGCAGATTGATAGTTAAGGCAGTAAAAGATATTATTCTGCAATATGAACAAAAATATATTTTTTTTATTTACATATTAAATGCAATATATTTACATATCAATATCTAGTATGTGTTGAGGAGAGCATGGGATTGTGTTTGTATTCTAATATTTCTTGATCATTTTTTCATCTGGGGATAAAATTTCAATAAATGCACAGTATCATTAGGATAGTTCACCATGTATTATGGGAATAAGTCATTACCATTATATCATTTATTCTCAAAACTTTTCATATATACTCAAGCTTTTATATGTAAAAGAGATCTCCTTGTTGATCCAGGAATACAATCCCAGTGCCTATTATAATTTTAAGGAGTATCCGTTGATCTAATATTGTGATGAATCATAATAACGTAATTTTTCCATAGATTTATTCCGAAAATCAATCCTTAAATGCACTACAATCTTATAAAAAGGTGAAGCTTTATTTAGTGAATCCTTTTATCCGCCTTGTGCGAGTAAAGCAAAAAAAGGGATTAAAACAAATATTCAAACTTACCACTATTAACCTCAACAATATTAACAATCAATCAAGAGTATATTCTGCAAAGTAATAGCAAAGTTAGTTTGTTTGATTTCTTAGCTTGATTTTAGAAATCGCCATCATGATGTTAATCATTTTTCTGGCTCTATAGATGCTCAAAGATAAAGCAGAAATATTACCTTTCTTGATTCTTTCCGTACATTTGATATTTTGCCAAGAAAATCATGATCATTGTATAAATTTCTGTCACCAGATTTTTGTCACATGCTGAGATACAATGCACAGTATATCGAATAAATTTTCTGGCAATGGCATCCGAATTCTTAATGCTTGGCATAATATTGTTCTAGTGATAAAAAAATTGAAACACCTTTATTATAATGCATTAAGTAACAAATTTCTTGAATATAAGGTGGAATGGAATGTTGTAAAAATGAGGTATAGCAGTAATTGTGAATTGAAAGCCTCAACTTGTCTTATTTCTTTTACTCTGTTGTTAATTTCAGAATTCTTTATATAAGTTCAAAATTATCTCATCTCAAGAAAGTCCTTTTGCAGGAAATAATCTATTACATAATCTGTATAAGTGGGAGTGATATAGATAGAGAAATAATTTTATTAGTTATAGACACAATATTCTCCAAAAATATAAGAGCAAAGAAATAACTTGATGCTGGGACTCATATTAAATGACCTAAAATCTGTATACTTTCTTCTTCTTTAATAGCATCATACATTTCTTTTGCTTTTTCATCTGAAAATTTAATTATTATTAATGATTTATTGCATATGATCATAAATTAGACTTACTCCTTATTGAAATCTTTGATAAAAATTAATATATTGATTAACATTAGGTAATAGAAGCTATTGTAATATCTAAAGCAAGATCTTGCTTATTTTTAATAGAGTCTCTGAAAAAAATTTCAAATTTACTAGTAATTTTACCAGCAATCCTATTGGTTAATTGATCTAAAAAGGAAAAAAATCATAACAACTTAGTGTAATATTTCCTTTTTTAGGTGTAATTTATCTATATATAGTAGAATCTTTAAAAATTCTCAATTATAAATTTTACCTTAGATTTTTGGTGACCTATCTTATAAATAAACAGGGTTCTAGGATTCTAAATATTCTCATACAACTCAGAGATAACGTGCATTTTTAGTAATAACTCAGTCAATATCAATACTAAAAATACAATTTTATTGTCTTATTGAGACAAATCCAATAAGTCTAAATTCATTAAAATCCAATTACTTGACCACTTAAAATATATAGGGTATATACAATAACAAAATTTGAAAACATATCCGCCGATTTGCGGAATTTACCAATCATCAATTATGTGGCGCAGTACCGATTAAAATCGATCAAAACCCGTTCTTATATAAGAAAAAATGTTAAAAAATATATAAAAAAAACTTTAAAGACCTCTCCCAAAATATTTACCACTTCAACCCGAAACTAGTAGAAGGAGTTTCTAGAAAAAAAAGGAAAAAAATATTATAAAGTTAGTTTATTAAAAAAAAACAAAAGAAAAACTTTACAAAATCCAGAATATTTAATGATTTAACGAAAAAAAATTAACTGAAAAATAATTAATAATAAATATCAAATAGATTTTAATTAAACAATTAATCAATACATAATCTAAATTCGCTAAAACATAGTTATTAATATTTAGAGTTATTTATTTATTGAAAGATTTTTTTTGAATAATTTTGCTTTCTAAATAAATTTTTTCTATAAACTATAAAAAAAAAATAAAAACAAAAAAACAGCTTCAAGT